TTGATTATTTTCTAGAATAGGCCCGCAATTTATAAAGCTGTAAAGCTGAATTGTAAGCTGTATCCCGTCGCATTCTGCTGTTGTTGTTGCTGTTGCATCATTCCTTCTACCATGGCTCTCTTGAATGGAAGTCAGTAATACCCTTAGAGTGACACCTTTCATGGACTGAAAGAGGACCGATTGCCATGCCGATGTTGTGTGCGGAATGCTGCTCTACTGCCATAAATTTTGTTGTTGTTGCTGTGTCTGTGGAATGGATATATAGAGTGGTTCTGGTGGACTTAGGTGTCCCCTCCTCCTTCTCCTCCTGTCAGAGCTCACCGCGCATCTTGTTGCGCTGCGCGCAACATGGATTTTTCTGCCCCAGCTGTGTTTTAAAATTAATAATGTATTTGTGTCTGTCTCTGGATTTAGCTGGCTGGATCATTTTCAGATCTTGCTGACACTACTTACATGTACCAGCAACACCTTTACATGTAACACGTATGATACATGGAACGGGACCAGTGATGGAGTAGCTTGCTAACTCTGCTTGTGCTTGTCAAGGGACAAGGGACCAATCACTTTCTGATGCGGTGCTGTCCCAACTGCCAGGATTGCATGGTAGGGTTACATGCAGCTCCTCGGGTTCCCTTGAACCCAACTAAAAAGGCTTGGGCTGGCAATGGTCTGATAATTATTTGCGTTATGGCGTTTGGGCTTGGCAGAGATGGTTTCCCCTACATTGAAGAAGCTGCCCTCAGTCTTGGAGATATTGTGTTGGAACCGTCTAGCTTTGGGAGCTACATGATTGATGCCACTCTCAAGTGGAGCCACCGGTACCGATGATTGTGGAGGATCTCTACCAATTAACCCATCAAGTCATGTCTGCTTGAGAGAGACATGCAGAGCATGTCTTCAGCATCGCTGCGGGGGGCAACGAAGAGGAACAGATTGTGGTACCCACTTTGAATAAAAGCAAATGGTATTTGTCAAGATTGTTATAACTTTGGAACAAGTTTTGGCATGGGGGAAACGCTATGGCATCACTCACTGTCTTCGTGGATGATCACCTTGCCTTTGGCCAAGAATGGCAAGTCTTGGGAGTCAGAACCAAAGCTCTTCCATGCCGGTACAATCCAAGCATCCAGTCTCCTCTTCACCACAAGTGTGTAATGCCCGACCCCAAGAAGGAGGCGAGAAGAAGACTTGGAGAAGTGGCATTTGACAGAGACGCCTCAGAAGAGGCATGTGTTCATTGCAATGCAGACCTCAAAGATAATTGCATCTGTGGCGTTATGGCCATGACGGACTTAGCACAAACAGAGCGTGCTTTTCAAATCAGAACAGATCAGATTTCATTAGATCGAATTCACCCTTTGCAAACGTTTTCCACAGAAGCTTGCCATACATGTACGTGTAGACACTATTACGTTGTGCGGGTTGCTTCCAGTGACCTATCCAATACCAAACGTTGGGTCGCGCACATGGCTACCGTAGTAGCACGGTATCTTCTCCTCGTGAAATCATTTGTGAGCTACAAGTTTCATTGCCGAAGTTCCCCTCAACTTGCTCCTTCTGAGGATGTGGAAAAGCTGTGCTCGAAGTTGCAAATTGGGACGTTTCTAGCCAGTCATACACCACTACCATGATTTTCAACCAGGGCGACTTGTCAACAGTTGCATTTGGAGCTCATCTGCTGCGTTGGCCCCGGTAGCATGTACGTAGAGCTGCGAAAAGGTGGCCTTGGAAAGGTTTTCCCTGGCCAATGCCTTGAGCACGGACCAAACCTCAATCAGTGGGATGGACCTTCGTTCCGACAAGGAAATCATCAAAGAAAAGCCAAGTCCAACAATGAACGACACTACAAACATCCGAGATTGTTGTCGAATGGCATCCATCACCATGGCCACGGCCATTCGACATAATGAGCCCAGCAACCCCCGATGTCGTGCATGGCGGTATCGATGTACTTGATATGCTTTGGCTTGGCACTCCTCGTCACAATAGTACACATGCTGCTTGGCGGATATGGCCATGTCACAGCAAAATTGGCACCGAATCATGCCTCGCTTTCGTTTGGCGCGCCTCCGACTTGCACGTCCCGTGTCCTCAACAACATGGGCGAACATGCGACAGCACCATTCACATTCGGTGCTGCGGTGTCGTCTCTGGTGCTGGTCATGATGATTGCTAGTCTCGTGACGAACGGAGAAAAAGAGATGATTGTTGGGATGAATGTGAAGTAGGGGTGAACGAAAGGATCTCCCGTTGGGAGCATAAAACCGAAACTCTTCGATCAAACCCTTCCCATCCGCTTCGTTGACACGCTGAATATCTTGGCCGCCGTGTAACAACACCATAAACCGACGATTGGAATCCTGGACGGAAGGTGCAACATCAACCTCCACGCAAGTTTGGGTCCATGCTGCCGACTCTAGGAAATCCAAGCCCAGAACAATGCTTGGTTTCCACGCTTCTTGTGTGTTGTTGATTTGATTGTCATGCACTACAGCATTTCTCAGTCGGACTTTGATGCTTTGGGAGGTTCCCCCCGCCAGTGTCACAACAAGCTCATCCACCACTGCCATTGTGACGGCGTGTTTCATTACGGAAACCTGGACTTCGTCGTCGTCACTGTCAGAATCGTCGTCACTAGTGTCCGATTCATCATCATCCCTCTTTCGAGTAGTATATCGACACCGTAGCTCGTGGAATCGATGGGACGTTAGTTTGGTCGTTCGGAGCCCCAGCCACTGAACGGCCGAAGGAGACACCACCGTGTACGGTGCTGCCGTGGAAATCCCCGCCAGCATTGGAATATTCCCCTTTACCGTAATGGGAATGACGACCGGCCCATGCTTGGGCGCCACGTAGGTTGGGGACAAGCTCATGGATGCGGCGCAATCCACTGTAATTTTGGGTCCATTGCGCCGTTGCTGTCGTACCGTTTGCCATTGTGCCTTCAACTTTTCCGAGTCGTCATCCTCCGACCACCCACGGGCGCGACACTCTTGACGTGTTTGGTCGTGGGACAATCGTTGCGGTCCTCGTGATTCCGTTCCGAGATGTGGATCCATGCCGAGAATGTTGCGTCGACGGTACCCCACAGTAGCCAAACGCTCTCGATTTTCGTCGTTGAGAAAGTCTCGTGCCAGTGGTTTTCGACAAATGGGACACGACACTTCCATCATGGCTGTTCGTCGGTTATGATTGTTGTTGTTATTGCCATGGTGATGGTACAGCCGTTCGGGTTCCGAGGCGCCCCATCCCAGGAGACAAGCGACACAAAAGGCGTGACCACAGTACAGTCCCATCATGCGCGTAGATTTGTCACCAAGATTTTTGTTCCAAGGAAACATAACGCTTGGACGATCAGCAGGCTCTTCTAGACAAATAGCACAGACATTTGGATTGTTGCTGGTGCCTTCCACTGTAGATTCCTGTGGATTGATGATGATATTAGTACGGGCAGTACCATTCCAGTTTCTCATTGAGGATGATAGTAGTGGCGAGGAGGGCATCCGGTTTCCAAAGAGCACCTGGGCTACCTGAAAGGCATAGTGTCGTGGTGAGGAGCTTTGATTGTTGTTCCTGTCGTGTCGATTTTGGTCTAGTATGTAGCTCAGCAACGTCATGGTCAAGGGAGTGTGTGCGACACCCCTTTGTAAGAGTTGCAGAATGCATTGACTGTACCGTTCCACCGTGGGCATTCCCACAATACCCCAGTAGGAGGAAAGGGCACTGGTGGATATGGAAGCGTCACATGTGATGTTCTCGTCGTCATTGTTGTCGTCGTCACACCATGTGAGTAAATTGTTCAGTAGGTAGTCCAGAGCAGACACGTGCATTTCCTCTGGTTTCTTCTTTTTCTTTTTCAACTGCTCACTGTCATCATCATCGTCATCATCATCATCCTCTTGAGCATAATCATAACGAGCAGTCATCCAGACTCGTTCCGTGGCAGGAATGTACCGTAGAAAGAGCTGCATCATTTCGGGGCATGCTCGATCCAGAATTTTGGCCCATAGATTGTGCAGGATTACTTGTGAGAAAATCCATTCTTTCATCTCATTCTTGTGCTCGTGCTTTTGCTTTGGTTGTTGTCTGGTTGTTTCGAGCATCAAATGCCGAATGGTGGTCACACTGCCATACTGCACGGCCGCCACCAGTGAGCTGCTGGACTCGTCTGAAGCATCGTCGTCGGCTCTTGCCCCCAAGCGAAGCAGCAATAGGACCATGTCATCTTCCCCCTGCCACCCATAGACATGTCGTAAGTACTTCCATTGGACCAACCACTGCAGCAACGGTCGTTGGCCATTTCCCTCATCGTCATCACTACTTGGAGGGCATGTCCGTGCTCTATCGACGCGTTGCTCCTGCAAAATGACCTGGATCAACGGTCGAATCAGCCACTCGAGGTTTTGTCCTTCACTACTGTGATGATCAGCAGGAGACGTCGTCAACAGCAAGACTTGCTCCAAGCGTTCCCCCAGTTGCTGGCGATTGTATTGTCCCACGCCACCATCGGGTCGACGAGAACAGCGTTCTTCGATGGCATCCAACAAGTCATTGACGAGCAATGAGGAAGGTTTTGGTGGTTCTACTGTGGGATCCATCATGGAATGAATTCAATCAAAATGAAAATGGCCATGGCTCCTCTCTTTTGGGACCATCAATCAGTCAATCAATGGGTCTTCTAGCTAGCTAGTAGGTAGATAGATAGGTCGATAGATGGCTGCCTGTTCTTCAAAAGACAGAGTGCAATCCTCGTCAAAAGCTCTCAGTGCTTCTTTCATTCTCGCTACAAAAAGGACACTATCATCCGTGCATAAATCCACAAACTTCGCAATTTGCCACCTATTTAGCTATTTCCGGCACATTTTTGCGAGTAAAAGAAAAGAAAACAATCTCCTAAGCGGTATGCATAGATTTAAGCAACACATGACTGGCTGGTTGGCGATTAGCGAATGTGCTCGGAGAACAGCCCCAGGTGGATTTCATGTCTCTCACGACAGCAAACAACAACCTTGAGAGCGAATTTTCTTCTTCATGGTCTCCGGATCCCATCAACAATCAACATCAACAATCTAGCTCTGGAGTTAGCTACAGTATAGCAGTGGCAGTGTGAGTGGCGCCTTTGGTAATTTATTTGACCTTGAAGTCTCCATCGATCGAGTAATTTTACTAGAAAAATATTCCAACAAACCAACAAACAAAATGAAGATGGGACGCCCCGGTGGAGGAGTCTCCCAAGAAGATGGTTCGGTGATTACCTCGGGAACCTTCATGGTCATGACACGTCCCGATGGCAGCCGTGGATGTATGAAGCATCCTCATTTGACTCTGGAAGGTTGGACTTGTCCAGAATGCGAAAAGGAATTCAAACAAGGACAACAGGCATTGCAAGCACGCAAGGCCAATTTAGACAACCGACTGCAAGCACTGGGAGATGGACCCACACCTCAACAACAGCAGCAGCAGCAGCAACAACAACCTCCTCTGCCTCCAGGAGCTCACTCTCCAATGGGACCCATGTCCATCCAAGCACAACAGCAAGCGCTCTATGGAGCAGCAGCAGCCAATTTGGCGGGACATTCCCCCATGCAAATGACGAGTGCGCTGCCGTATGGAACCTTGGCGCATGCGGGGTATGGAGGAATGATGCCTCCCTCACTGGCAGGTCTAAATGGAGTTCCTGGCCAATCTGGTCCTCCTTCCTCCACTTCCTCGAGCACATCCCTCGACACTCTGGCGCTGCAAATTAATCGCATGCAACAAATGCAGGACTGGATGCTGCTGCAGAAGGAACGAGAAGTACAAATGTTGAGACAAGAATTGGGAGAAGCACAACAAAATTTACACACCATTCAAATGGAACACGCTCTCTTGCAGGAAAAAATGAATCAGCAGAAAATTCAACACGAACAGGAACTCAAATACCTGCAACTCTCCTCAGCGGCTCAGGCGGCCAACAACAACAATAATCCCAACAACAATGTCGTCGTTCCTCCAGCCGCCGTCATGGCTCCACCACCCGCTCAGGCTGTCGCAAAAAACAATAATAATAATGCCACTCCAGAAAGATCATCCGCTCTTCAGCTCATGAAGGCATCCACAAACACGGTACCCATGGACAACACAACCAACAAAAGCAACAACGCCAAGAGCAAGGATGCCGTTGCATCTTTATCCGCTGGGAATAATCGATCCATTGCTACGGGCACAGCGACCAACACAACCGTTCCCATGGGGACTCCCGTCACCCCCAACAAAAAGGCACCGCCAACAACGATTGTGGCTCCCAAGATCGACAATATCGGTAATAACGACAGCAGCAACAGGGCCAACCGCAATCCAACGGAAAAAGCTGCCGGTGAAAATGACAGCAGCAAGGTCAATGGCAACAATAATAAGGCCCCTGTTCCTGCGGTTGCTGCCGTGAAAAATAGTCCACCCAAAAAGCAAGCACCGACCAAAAATCCTCCACCTGCGGAAACGCCCAAAAAGAACAACAACCCCAAGCCCCCTCCACCCCCAACAAGAAGCAATAACAATAACAACAACCCTGCCAAACAAAACAACAATTCCAACAACAACAACAAGTCAACGCAGCCACCCATTGCAAATATCTCCAAACAACCACCACCAGCCATGATGAATGGAGTTCCGATCGATATCAATTTTGACGATGATGCTCCGCCCACGGTGCCACTCCAGGAAGATATTACTCTTGGAACCCTCGGAAAGGCACAATCGTGGAAGGCCACTGTTGTGGAACGAGCCAAAAATCGCAGCAATGTCGGTAGTGATCGATTTGAACCACGATACATTCCCCAGGATCAGGTCAACGCAAATGCCGCCGCCAATGGTGGTAATGCAAATGACAATGACGGAATGGAACCCGGTGGTGCTGGATTTGTCATGCCCAGTGATCAACAGTCGCTCACCGTGGCGTCTTCCACCTACGGAGAGGATCGACAGAAAGTCATCAACCAATCGCTGCTGGATCCGTACGGTGATAAGGGTATCTACACCGGGCTCATCCTCAAGTCCACCGGTATGCCTCATGGTAGTGGGCGCATGATCTACGAAGAAGATCAACGTATCTATGAAGGAGAGTGGCGCCATGGACGGTGGCATGGATTCGGTGAAGCCAAGTTCGCCAATGGCGATAACTATGAAGGAGAATATCGATTCGACCAACGACATGGACACGGCAAGTATTCTTGGTCAGATGGACGCTCCTATGATGGTGACTTTAGTGAAGATCGGCGGCATGGAAAGGGACTCTTTGTGTGGCCCGATGGTGCAATCTATGTATGTGGCTCCACCGTTACTTTTTGTCTTGTTCGTGTGGCTGCTATTAGCTATCTCTCACGCGCTCTTGCCTACGCCCACAGGAAGGAGAATTTTCCAATGGTCAACGTGAAGGACACGGAAGCTACAAGTTTAGTGATGGTGGCCAATTCACTGGTAACTGGAAGGATGGTCGCTACAATGGATTCGGAACATGTTCCTGGGAGGATGGTCGATGTTATCGTGGAGAATGGCGGAATGGTATGGCACACGGCAAGGGAATAGAAACTTATGCTGATGGAACTGTGCGACACGATGGGCAATGGGTTGACGATGAGCCAGTGCGCTAAGCAGATCCTTTGAACATTTGCACTGCTGCGAAAACCTTGAGAGGCAACCCGATTTTCGAACAGCAAATGGCATTCTCGACCAAGCCATTAGATCTACACAGCCTGCATCTGGTCGATACAACATAATTATGTATTATTAAAGGTAAACCTACGATAATGCAGTTGTTCGAAGTTCCTGTGATCGTGAAAGCAGCCAAAACCACCAATTCCGAGGGGGGAAGCGCCGCTCCAGTGAACATTTCTCTATTGCCTACGAAAATAGTAGTGTCGTGAACAGCCACTGAAAGCCAAGAGAAAGCTACTTCCTTCGGAAAGGAAGAAAACACCACCGCCTCTGCTGCGCACGTTCCTTGCCTGTTGCTTCAAAGTGATCATTGCACGCAGACATACAAGAGTCGCTTGAACTTGAACTGTTTGTTTCCAGTGACGAAGGCCAGCAACGAGCCGCGAGCAATGACGAGTTCCAGGCAGCCGTGTGGCACCACAAGCCAGGTGACTCCCGCAACAACCCGTACAACATGTTCTGTAAAAATTGGTCCGGACACCCATGGTCTCGAATACGCTTGGCAAAGACGTTGCAAAGGAGCTGGGACATGTCCTCTCCTGCTTGGGCGTTGGCACGCCCCATTTCATTCAGCTGCAGGTAGTGTTGAACCCGAGGGTCGAAGCTGTCCCACGGACTAGCTGCTGTCAGAGTACGGTTGTGCAGTTTCAGTAAATCCACACAAGCACATGTGACTCTGTCGCTTTTGCTCTCGTCCTCTTCATCTGGCCAATTTAGTGCTCGGAACTTTTGAAGCGACTGGTTGGTCCTTAGTGCATCGAACACGGCCACAACATCTATATTCAGGTTGTTCAAGACGAGCTCCTTCACCGCCACATGGGAGTCGCTCAAGAGTGAGACAATACCAGAGGCAAGCTTCTCGCGGTGTGAGTCGTTCAGTGCGTTTTGGTTTCGTGTGTCCACTTCCAGCCAAAGAAGGTCGAGGGAGCGGAATACACGGCGGATTAGCTTGAGATGGAACCGAAAATCACAGTTCACCAAATGATAACTTTTCCTACGCTCGAAACCTGCCCACAACATCCATTGAAAGGTTGTTTCTTTACGATGATCTGTGCCAACGACATTGCTCCATATCACGTCAAGCTTTAGAGAGGACAATGCCACTTTCCCCTCCAATTCCTTTTGGATCATCTGCAGCCACATTTCCCATTGTGCCATATCTTTCTCAGAAACCCATTGCAACCCCAAGGATTTGAGAGCCTTGTTCGTTTGCAGCATACGACGAAATGCTTGCCAAGCAGGAACTTGCTGGCCTATTGAACAATCGCGAAGATCGGGGAGCTTCAGAAAGGCCACTTCCGAGATGGATGTGTTGGTCTCCAGGGCTTGCATAAACACCGTGAAACCTTCCACGTCCCATGTGATGGTCTTGAATGACACGCTATCCAAACGAGTCAACACAGAATTGAACCCATGAGCTCGTGGGGCAGTCATGGGCAAGCGCAACAGCTCGGGGATGCGGGAATCCTCCAACCACAGATTTTCTGAGTTGTACCTGCGTCCCATGTACTCCAAAAGCTCTGGCGGCTGTCCTGTGAGAACGGCCAACGACCACGTCGTGTGCCACTGTATTGGATCTGGGTATAGCTCCAGCAGCAGAATCAAGGTTCCCGCCGGTACATTGTTTTGCATGGCCAAATGCAATGGGATATGACCTCTTCCAGCCCGACTTTGTAGCAGATATGGAGCCTGTCGAGCCAAAAACTCCATCACCTCGGGTGCCAAATTCGGGTCCTCACACGCCCAATGAAGCAGGCTCCAAGTTTGCAAATCTGCGTTTAGCTTTCCCTTGGATGTCAATTTACAAAGAGACTGAAGGGAGTCTAGCGGTACATTTGGAACCTGAAGGAAGTGCCAAATTGGGGGGAAGACATTGCGTTGCCGCCAAGCGGATGCATAGGAAAGACGTGTGAGTCTTGGATTCTGAGATAGCTTTTTCAATAGCTGGGGTAACAGCTCCGTTGTCCTTGGGGTGGAGCCGTTGGCCGCAGATTGGAGGTGAAGATGGATCAAAAGCTCCCCAACTTCTTCCGCTGCGCGTTTGTTGCTCGTCCGCCTGAAGAGGTTCATGGTGACCGGTACATGTACGCAGAGGCTGCCCTTCGTTGGTGTTGCTCTCCGCGTCCAGTCCACGAATTCGAGGTTCCTTGGTTTCACCGGGGTATGGGGCAACTTATGGATTTCATTGCGTAGATACGCGTAATGTTTCGTAACAAGTCGTAACGTCACGTAACGGCAAGTAACTTGGTACACTAATTTCAATAGTAAAACGTAGCTTTACAGAACGTAACTGCACGAAAAGTAACTGCACATAACTGCCATACAATTTAGAGTGTGGCAGTGCCGTGTTGTGTGTCTAAATCCTACCGGTATAGTTGCCCCATACCCCGGGCGATACAATGGATCCAACCGTGAAAAACCTCTCAGTCCTGAATTTTTGCAAAAAACCTTCAGCCGTGCTTCCGAAGTCACGCTCACAACGGCACAACCCAGTCGTACAAGACCAAGCAAACAAACAAAGCACATAAAAGCAACACACATAGTACCGGTAGGCGAACGAAACCTTAAGAGAGAGATGCAGACAACAGCAAAGGCGATATATTTCTTCCTGAGGAAAAGAAAGTTGCAGTTTCAGGTGCAGTGGATGCTGGACAACCAGTGGTTCCCCGTGGCATTGCTCAATGAATTCCCATCGCTGATCCTCAAACAGTATGACATTGGCTTGGCCCATGGCACTCCCCTACACTGGCTGCTGATGGAGGGTAGAGCCGAGCTCCTCCAGCAGCTCGAGTTTGTCAAAGCTCTCTGCGATGGCCGATCCGATCTCAAGCAACTCTTGCGAACGAGGGATGCACATGGGAGGGCGCCAATTCACGTCGCGTGCCAATATTGTCCAATGCATGTGATTGAATATCTCATTGAATTGGATCCAGAGACGCTTTCCATCCGTACCACAATGGGTCGCGGTTGCTTGCCATATGAGTTGGCCATGGCCAACACCCGATACCCCATCCCAATGGAAAAACTGAAGCGGATGTTGGAAAAGCATCCCGATACAAGAAACTTTGGCAAGATGCTGTGCTATGCTTACCTCACCAACCAGCCCATGGAGCTGCTGGAATTCATCGCGGACCTCTTTCTTACGAAACAAATCAACCAACAGGACCTACATGTGTGCAATCGCTGCTGGGACATCCCACAGGCACAGGCACGACAGTCGGCCTTTACGTTGGATCAGGCAAAACTGATCACAAAGATATTGACAAACGTGAAGCGTCTGGCGTTGGCTCTTCCGTCTGGCTGGGAGAGCGATGCATTCATTTATATCATGCGGTATCTTCAGAACAATCAATGCAAGGCCAGGCTCGAAAAGATTTCATTGCCCATCCTGAGCAGCATAGAGAGCGACCAAGAGCGAAGAAGAGTTGTGGATGCATTTCAAGGATTCCTCCAAAGCAACTGTCGCGTGGGGTTCTTGGTGATCCTAACCGAAGAATATTCTGTGGCTTCCTCGAGAGAAGCTTGGTATGAAGCCATCGTCAAGGGGTTGGGCAATCGCAAATTCAGTGACCCCCTTACATTGAGTATTCAAACTGCCAGGGAAAACCATCGCATCCCCAGAGCAAACCTTACAGCCAAGTACTCGGAACGACGACGATGCGTTTATCATGTGGACCTTGATGTGGACCGTCGGGATCGTCCGTTCTTGCTGCATCAACTTTCCCTGCTTCCAAAGACGATTCGAAATCTAGAGAATCTCACATTGCGTTGCACTCGGGCAAACGACGACGTCGAGGAAGAGATTGACACGGAACTTTCTTCTCACATTGCACAGTTCCTTGCTTCGACTCCGACCCTGAAGGTGCTTCGGCTCGAGGAAGTTTTCATTGACCCTCTACCCATATTTCAAGCGATACGGACCCACCAGTCACTTGAGAGCTTTGAAGTCTCGTCATTTTCAGAGGAGTTGTCGGCTGTTTTGATACGAGATGATATAGTGTCAGACTGCCTGGACCTTCTCCAAAAGAATAATACGTCGCTTGAAGAATGCTCTCCTTGGTGTGAATACAACGAACAAATCAAGTACTTATTAGCGCTCAATCGGCGCGGAATAGCCAGAGTTCGCAATGCTTCCGATGCATGCACCGTGATGGAAGCCGCCGCGCTTGGGCTCTATACGGGAGCATTTGAGCAGAGTATCTCGTACGACTTGCTTCGTGAAAGGCCAGATTTGTGGTGTCGGGTCGCCTTGCAAAGCCCGAAAGCGTCCACTTTGGTCAAGATGCATCCGAAACCACAATCCGACATTGGGAGGGTCGGCAACACTTTGCAACCCAAAGGCGGCCCTGAAGGCTTTCATGACGAGTCCATCGTCGTCGGCTGTACTTGCAGGCCCGGTTTTGGATGCTAGCTGGGCTCGTCTACTGGAAGAGCCTAATGAGTCTTGATCCGATCAAGTAAGGAAAGAAAGGCGCCCTGCGACCGAACTCGACCGAACTTGATAAAGCAACACCAGGAGCTCTGCAGCACCATGAAAGCCATCTCGAAGAAAATGAACAGTTATACTTGGTGCAGACGAAACACCTTATTGTAGTTCTTGCAATAAATATAATGCCCCAGAAGGAAACATCCTACCCCCGTCCTCAGATCTATCGATAGACTGTGGAAAACGACACTCGATTCTGTTTGAGAAGAGAACGAAAGGCACGAGCATTGCGTGTATTTGAAAATTGTCGTTTTATTTGGAAGAATGACTCGAACCATGGACTGCGCTTGCTAGCTGGGCGTCATAAAGACTTCTCAAGCTTCCAAACTCTTATCGATTTCTCTCCAACCTGAACATTTTTGTTGCAGCAAGGAGGAGATGATGAGCACATGAATGACGACCCGACTGGCATTTCCTTCCTTCTTTCATTGTTTCCACGTACCTATTGGAAACTCTCGCGCCCAGTAGGGCGGATGGGGCGGCCGATACTCCTTGACGGCAAATTTGGCATTCATGGGAACATAGTAGTAACTGTCGATTTCTCCCCGTTGATATCCTGGCAATTTGTCTGTTTGGGATCGATATCCTCTCATTCTGTTAATGTATCCCGTGAATGTGGAGTAGTATGTCCCGGCAAAGACATGTCCTTTGGACGCAATGAGTTGGTCCAGCATTCCGTAAAAATTGGTATTGAGTCCTTCCGCCAAGGGTGGGTTACTGTCGAGGAAATAGACGCGATAGTTCTTGTGAAAAATCTTGAAAAAGCTTCGGTCCTTTTCGTCAGTGGCTATGGATGTATCATGGATGGATTAATAATTGTCGTTTTGATGGAGTTTGAATGGAGTGGAACATTGTTGGGAGCAGCCAAGTTGGATGCATCAGCGATACCATTTAGTTAGTAAAACAAATACACACACACACACACACACACACGCAATCACATGACGATACGCACCAATATAGAGTGTCGCATTGACGGGAATGACATCGCGAATACTTTCAAAAATCACATCGGCTTCTATCCGTGTATCCTTGTATTGAAAATCCCCTCGTCGAATGTGCATGGTATAAAAGTTTCCATTGGGTTCTCCGAATTGCCGCGCTTTCATATGCAAAAAGTCAATCCATCGTGCCGCGGCACATTGAATTTGATCGACATATCGCAAATGATCCCGGACAAATCGTTTGGTCCATTGATCGTGTTTCCAGTCTTCAAAAAAGAGAAAGGAGTAGAAATGGGCCAACATGCGTGCCCCGCTATCATTGTCGCCCATGGCATGGACGACGGGTGCCTGTTGAAAGGATTCGTCGTAAATGCACAAATTCTGGCGTGTGGCGAGCATTTCACGTATCCGTGCTTCCGGGGGTGCATCGACGGGAGTGGGATTGTTGTTGTACGAATTGATGCGTTTTTGAGCACCGATTTTTTCCATGATTTGTTTGGCGTCTGCAAATGCCGCTTTCAAACTGGCAACTCCCGTCGGACCGGGTTCTTTGGGAAAAGATGCCAGACACTTGTCCATATTCCAGTCCAACACTTTGGTAACGGTTCGTAACCACGGAAAGACGCCTCGTTTTCCCATTTCATAATTATGAAATTTTCCATCCCAATTGGTCTGATTGCGGGGTGGGAAACTGGGTTTGCCGCGTGCATCGCGTAAATGGCCCGTCATGGCTTCTCGTTGCAAGAATTCGGTAAAGGAAATGACGGTCAAATGGGGATGTTCGGTTTCGACGGAATCAAAATGAAAAAAGTCTTTGAATGTGAATCGGTTCTTTTGTCCCTTGTCTTTTTGATGCAGCAAGTACATGCCCTGTTCGGGTGGTAACACGAGTGTTCGGCCCATGGCCAATGCCATCGTCACGGCCGTCTCCATGGCCATGCGAATGTTGTTCCAGCCGCCTATTACAAAAAACATAATAAGAAAATGAGAGATTTTCCAAACATGAGTGATTTTTGGTCCATTTTTTTGTTTTGTTTGGGTCTCACCTTCATCGGGTTCAAATGTCAGATATTTGGTCTTTGGTCCGACATTTTTAAAGGGACTTTGGAAATGAGCATCTTGCGGAATGTCCTTCCAATACACCATTTCGGCCGCCACATCATTGGGAGGTCCTCCCCAAGGATCGCAATTCAACCCCGCCACTTCATGGCCTGGTTTCTTCATGACGGGAGTGGCCGTTTTCTCTACAGATTTTTCCACAGTTTTCTTGGTTGTTGTGGTTGTTTTTTGTTGATTACTACTTTCAATAATATTCCCCGTATTCCTCTTTTGCGCGGCAACGAGTAACTGAGATTGCTCAATGGTAGCGCGTTGACTGCTGCTCACGGCAAACAAGTAGACGGCCATCAAACAGCAAATGGCCGTCAGGATGGTCGGAAAGTTACATGGTCCACTACCCGAGCGCTTTTCGCCGCGTTTCGCTGATATATTCTTGGGACTGGCTCGGACTGGAGCCCTCGGCATGGTTGTTATAGTTATTGTATAGTTATTATTGTCAGACAGACAGAAAGATAGATAGATAGATAGATAGATAGTTGGTTTGCCGTTGTGTCCGTCGTCGACAAGGAAAGATGATCGATTGTGTGGATTTGCTTTGTTCTTCGCCAGGTGCTCATTGGATCTTTCATTTAGTACAGTAGGGTTGGGAGTTTATCAAAGATGACTCTTGTACTTAACGTTGGTCATAAATTCTTTACGAGTGACTTCAACCCCACAATTATACACGGCTTGCCTGCGCGCAGGAACTTGTTATTGCAGTCACAGATGTCTTTCTACTGTATGTAGTACAGCTGTAGACGTCTGGGTACTGGCTAGTAGAAGTCCCACCTCTCCATCGAGACGGGCATCAAGCGCTTTTCCCAATTGACTTCTGGCCACTGGGACCATATGATGGAGGCTAATAGAACACCAAAAGGTTGTGAACTCTGATACCAGGAATTGAACCCAGATCTTCTGAGAGACAGTCAGACATGCTACCATTACACCATATCAGATTGGGACACTGATCGACTCGACTCAATCAATGGACGTTATCTCCCTCATGAGGAATGCTTTCTATTTTTTCAAGGGCAGAGCATTCAAGTGCATGCATGGAATAGTGGTGATGTTCTCCGAATGTTGTGATGGCCGACATCATCATAAAGGTGCCTTGAATCGAATCTTGGGCGGCGCACGGATCAAGCCACATAATCCCTTTGGTCAGTCCCCATTGGTCCTCCATTTGTCGCAACTGATCCCACGGAACCTAGTCCCAAATTCCGCCTCTTCTTTGCCTACCCGGGTAACCCTGCCCCCTCGCTGGCTTCCTTAATTTAATATCTTCCCTATTCAAAAACCACATTTCTCTTTACATCATGCCTGCATGCCTGCATGCATACTTACTACAGTAGCTATATAACTTGATAAAGACCGGCAGAGATGTATGAGATATTCGGTACTACCAGGCGAGCTGCTTCTTTATTGTGAGACCCACCACTACTACAGTACGAACGACATGTTCAGATATCACCCGGGTCTGCCCGGTATACAAATAAATAATGAGATATTCAACAGAAAAAGACGCTGTCACCACAAAAAGCTTGGTTTCTTCATCTGACGAGTTGGACCTCCAACTTCCGAATGGTCTACTACTAACTAAGTATCCATCCATCCATCCATCATGAGATGCCACGCTTGCCATCATAAAGATTCGATTCCATGACTTGGCGCGCGGATAGTAAAGCAACATCAAATTTCGAACTAGTCTATTTCTTAAAATTGTTCATGAGATTTTCTACAGAAATAGACGCCGTCGCCACAAATAAGTAGACAAGTTTAGACTTTCGCGAAAGTCGTACCGTATGGCCCAGAATCATGGAACGATTGCGTCGAGTAGCTCTCTCGTTCGAGGAGGATCCAACAAACCGTCCTGCAAGTGAAAGGGCATTTCGAAAGGCCCCCAGGTGCGGTAGTGAACAGTAGACGAACGTTTTCACGCTTGGCATTGGCCAACTCGAGGAAACCAGCACCAGCGGAAACGAAATAGGAGTTGGCGACGACGCTGTATTCGCGTTCCAACTCGATTGGTTTCCAGACGTCGTCGTCGTCATCGTCTTGCACGTTGACCTCAACATTGGTGCATCGGTGAGAGAAACTGTTGCGGTAGTCAATGGAACAGAGGAGCCGAACTGCGTACGGATAAGCTCTCGTTTTGTTGGCTTCCACAAGGTATTTCAGTGCTTAACAAGCACTGTAACCACGATGGAAGCCCCAGTCAAGTCGACTACCAAAAGCTTGTTCTCAAATGGGAGGAGATTGCTCAAGTCATCTTCTGTGAATGTTCCATTCCAAACATCCGTGCGAACCTCGCTACCGGTTTATGATGTTCGTGACGTCCGTGACGCTGCCTTCCACAACGATACTCAAATTTTTCACGAACACCTGAAGAGATGGTATAAGTGGCTGGTCGTCTGCCGCGTGGGATGCTGTGTTTGGTGACCGAGAACTGACTTCCTGCGGCTGTCGCACAGATATGACCCAGTCGAAGACCGAGGTATCCTTCTATTGTTGCACTATTCATATGCCCCCTGGGTCGTCTCCGTTTCCAGTACTAGTTTAACTTGTCTACTAATACAGGATAATGGTGAATAGAATCGAATGAATCATGTGGCTTATATTTAGGGTTTAGGTTTTGCAATTTTGAAGTCAACGTGTGTAAGTGGAGGGTTGGCTCGCTTCCGCTGGGAGCTTGGTGTCTTCTTTTTCCTCTGTTTCCCGCTCTTCGTCGGAACTGGGTATTCGGTAATAGGATCGTGAGCAAGTTCGGCAGCTTTCTTCATACCTGTGGATGTCATCATTCTACTATTCGCAGGTGATACTTTGGCCGACGTGGTTCGTGGAACAGGTGGGACGGGAGATGACGTATTTGGTTGCATTGGAATGGGAATGGTTTGCGAATATATTGGGAGGTCCAGTATTGAGGATTTGAAAGTGAGGGCACGGGGGATTTATACGAAGCTACTGTAGGAGAATTACCACCGTTCTCCTGTTGGTGCTTTTCAGAAGAGTTCCCAAGAAGGCCTCAAAGTTCATGCCGGGGGGAGTGCAAAACCATGGGGAAGGGCCAGTGTGGCAGCTTGAAGGCGAACTGGTGGAGTAGAGGTGGGGCGGGGGATGGTGTGAGTGCGTAGTGGCTTGTAAAATGTTGCGACGGGCACCAGTGATGGCCCGCATGCGCCGAAGTCCGATGCATCCAGGTTGTTTCGGTGAAATAACGGACGTAAGACGTGAAGCGCGGGAGTTTGACCACGAGGCAAATAGAGTACAAATGGCCCTTGTCGTCCTTGAGGAATTCGGATACAGTGCGGTATTCGCCTTGATCGATC